ATAAAACCAACATCAGTATCTACAAAATAAATTGTAACAACTGCGAAAAACACTACATTGGTCAAAGTGGACGTCCCCTTCGTCTTCGTATCCACGAACACAAGCTAGCCGTCAAAAGACATGATATCCACTCCCTCATATCACTACACACGGATAACCACGGACATCAATTCGGCTGGGACAACTAACATTCAAATATTGGACAGAGGAAACAACAAGAATGCTAGAGAATTTTTAGAAGCTTGGCATTCCAGTGAATCATCAATCAATAGACACATCGAGATAGACAAAATTTATCAACCGATAAGAAAGAAACTTCACACACAAAGGGTCAAAGTTCAAGTCACAGAAACAATCAGTTCCAACACAAGTAACCTAGAAGGTGTGAAAACACACATAAACAACCAATCACGTCCAAGGTCACCAGGAGGAATGATTAACAAACTCGTGGAGAAACCTAAAAGCTCACTTCAAATTGAAGTATGCGCAGAAGATGTCACCCAGTAGGGCGATGAAAGCTTCGCAAACTAACCATCAAGCTCAGAGAAAAAAACCACATCAAAATTATTCACCTGAGCTACAAATCTTCTCTATCATATTAATAAGTGTTTTGCAATGGATGATGATGCTGGATTTCTGTTCCAATTAATCGCATTGGGATTTTCTATATGATTTAGTAGCTATTTTGGAACACGTTCTTTTTGACGACGTTGGAACACTATTGGTTATACCTATATAAGTGTCACTGCAACTGAAGATGAACTTTAATATACACTTTGAAGTAGAGTCCACAGAATTTTATCCTTTAATCGTAGGTACAGGAATCGAAAATGTTCGGTAAGTGAGAAAAAGAGATGCGGCGTAGGATGTACGTTTGATGGCTGACCGAAGTCTTTGAGCTAGTTGTCAACTGGTCGCCCTTGAATGGTAGGTTGATAAAGATAGCTTTCTTTGGTTCAGAAGCTGTCTTTTCTGGATGTGGTCATTCTTTACTGTGACAAGTGACAAAGTTCTCCGGATAACCATTAGCTAATAAAAGTAAATGTATATGTTGAAACTCATCCATCAATGTGTCACTCGTGCATATTTTTCGGGCCCTTGAGAACAAACATTTCACTAGGGAACGTTTATACGACTGGATAGGAACAAAACTGGTAAAATGAAGATATTGTTCACTCCATGTCTGTTCACGAAAAATAGATCGCTGAATCGTTCCATTATTATTCTATTCTATTCACTACTACATTTTTATGCTTATCATTTTAACTTAAGCGTCTTTCCTAAACTTTAATTTCGCTTCATTCTAACATTCTTTCAATACTATCAAATTCCCAAATTTTACTATTCTCGTGTATATATGATTAGTGATATTACCTGTTTCTCAATATTTATGGCTCCGCCTGTTTCATTTCACATATTGGTTATTTCACGATGAAGTATTCAGCACAGTTTTATTGTCTGTCCATTTCAGTCTTGTCCTGACTTGTCAATTCTCATTCAACCGCACAAAGTATGAATCAATCTATTATGACTAATCACCGTCTTTATCGTCAGTCACACGCATTTTTACTCCATTATAGATAAGATTTTTATTTTGATAAATCGCACAGTGTTTACAGTTATATGAACTGATGACGTTTCGAGCACAATTTATTGCTCATAATCATATCAAGGTAATCACACGACTTCCTAAATTCATTTATATAGTTCCATTGTTTTTCTCTTGATTTTCACTTGATTTGATTGGTAATAGTATTTTCCATATTTCAGGTATGAGTGACGAGTCATTCCTATTGCATGTGTTGGGTGTAGACTCGATGAACAAGGACTCAGTAATCAACCTCTCTCTCCACCTACCTAGATTACTTTTTAGAATTTTAACCCTCTCCCACCCTATTGTGTGGTTGTGTGTTAGCGCATGCATTGCAATTGCTGAGCTTTTTTCTAAATTATTTATCTTCTCGGGGTCAACCATTCTTACCTTAGCTAAATTTTTATGCTCTGACAATCTGACCACCCCTGACCTACTAGTTTGACCTATGTAGTTGACCTCACAGTCATTGCATGGTATTTTGTAAATAATATTATTTTGTCTAATTGGGTCAACTGGGTCCTTTAACCTACAGAGCTTGTCCCTGAGTGAGTTGGGAAAATAGTGCCCTCAATACATTTAACCCTACTCCGAAAATATGGTGGAGATATGTGGATGACACTTTCACAGTGTTAAAAACAGAACACATCTCTAGCTTCTTGACACATATAAACTCACAAGTTGAGGGAATAAAATTCACATTTGAATCAGAAAATGAACAAGGAGAATTAGCTATGTTAGATTGTAAGATAAAAAGAATAGAAGAAGGCAAACTACACACTAGTGTTTATAGAAAACCAACGCATTCTAATAGATATTTAGACTTTAATTCGTCTCATCCTTTAACTGTTAAGGCAGGCTTAGTTAAATGTTTAACAAACCGAGCAGTGGCACTAAGTAGCACAAAAAAAGATCTAAATGATGAATTAAAACAGATAGAAGAAGCGTTGGTGTTGAATAACTATCCTATAAAATTCATTAGGAAGATCATTAAAGGCCAAAAACAAAATAAAAATAATTGTGAAACTAGTAATAATAACATAAATAAGAAAGAATATAAGTCATCCACAGTTATACCATATAAAGAGGGGACATCTGAGACACTACGTAGGATTCTGAATAAAATAGGAATTAGGGTGGCATTTAAACCTACAAACTCACTCAGGGACAAGCTCTGTAGGTTAAAGGACCCAGTTGACCCAATTAGACAAAATAATATTATTTACAAAATACCATGCAATGACTGTGAGGTCAACTACATAGGTCAAACTAGTAGGTCAGGGGTAGTCAGATTGTCAGAGCATAAAAATTTAGCTAAGGTAAGAATGGTTGACCCCGAGAAGATAAATAATTTAGAAAAAAGCTCAGCAATTGCAATGCATGCGCTAACACACAACCACACAATAGGGTGGGAGAGGGTTAAAATTCTAAAAAGTAATCTAGGTAGGTGGAGAGAGAGGTTGATTACTGAATCCTTGTTCATCGAGTCTACACCCAACACATGCAATAGGAATGACTCGTCACTCATACCTGAAATATGGAAAATACTATTACCAATCAAATCAAGTGAAAATCAAGAGAAAAACAATGGAACTATATAAATGAATTTAGGAAGTCGTGTGATTACCTTGATATGATTATGAGCAATAAATTGTGCTCGAAACGTCATCAGTTCATATAACTGTAAACACTGTGCGATTTATCAAAATAAAAATCTTATCTATAATGGAATTATACTCTACCACAGTGCCCAAGTTTTATACTTATATCAACACGCATTTTTATTCTAGTAGGCTTGTCATACAAAAACTATTTGACGTCTTGTCATCCTGTGATAAATAAATCTGTTATTCTACGTAAGCAAAAAAAAATGTACCCGCTGCAGTTTTACTCATTTAAGCAGTTTATGTGAATGTCATTTAAACACATTAACAACACGGACTATGAGAGATGCATGGTTGACAGGTGGTATTCAGTAGCTTGTAACACATTACAATATTACAATAAATGACAGAATTTCGGATATATACATATTGTCAACACTGTGTTGACTAAGCATTGTTTTTTTTATAGTTATCTGTGAGTGTTTTATTTTTTGAAATGGTTTCTCTAGATAACCTCTGCTGTTAAGTAGAATATTGGTATGAGACAGAAGAGAAAGTGAAATTTAATATCAGGTGTTGCTTTGGAGGGATGTGATTGGTTACAGGATCCATCAATTGGGGAACCATTTGAAAATCAGAAAAGAAGAGTGCTCGACAGCTGTTTCAGGTGTCCTAGTTTAGAACTCTGCTTCAACAGTACGCACCCAACCCAATGGGACTCGAGCCTAGAACCTGCCAGTTACAAGGCCAGCAAGCTCGTTGACCATTAATTAGCCCACTAGGATGCAATCCACTGGCCACTCCATGGATTCCCACTTCTACCAACTCATGATATATATATCATTCATAAGTGAATTGATGAATTGTTTCCTTCTTTCAGTTAATGTGTTTGAAAAATCTATCTGTATTCTGTGTTCTAAGTACAGTGAATGTGTCATCTACATACCTCAGCCATAATTCTGGAGTGGGACTGAACGTTTCAATTGCTATGTTTTCCTACCTATCCATGAATATATCTGCTACAACCGGGGATATTGGTGACCCGACGGCAACCCCCTCAATTTGTTTGTATATTTTCCTCTGGAATTTAAATACTGTGAAAGTCAGGTATAGCTGTACTCTCAGCATTATGTCCTCAAGTGTCACTTTCGTCCTAAGTTCGAGTTCTTGGTCAGAAATGAGTTCGTTTCTGACTGCCTGTACAGTCATATTTATTGGTATACGTGTATATAAACTGGCATTGTCAAAACTAACCATTTTTTCTTCATTATCTAATTTTAAATGATCTAATCTGTGTTTTAGTTCATAAGAATTAGTTAGTCTAGATTTTGAGTGGCTTTTAAGGGGATTTAATATCATGGCTAAATGTTTAGATAATTCATAAGTAGGTGAATTTCTAAAATTAACTATAGGTCTAATAGGGTATCCTGATTTATGAACTTTAACAACACCACACATTATTAGTTTTGGGCATTAAATTAAATAATATAGACTCCACGTTAAAACAGCTTCACTCGGCGTATAAGGTCCACTGTGGATACATCTAATAAACAAACTACCAACACAGTGCCCAAGTTTTACACATATATTAATATGACTAGAAGGATTGGCAGAAAGGTACTGTGATATACCAAAAATCCTTTACATTACATGCTAAGTACATTACTCACAAAATCTTATCAGCAGCACCTGCCGCTCTGATTGTCTTGTAACAAACTTTTTCGGCGTGAAACGCATGCCGTTTTAATCATTTGCCATATTCATAATATATTTCGCCTTCTTTTTATTTTTCCCTACCTAATCAGACAATTACAGCGTCACGAGGTCTTCCAAGCTCTGAGACGCGTTATGTTGCCGCTAGATATCTACAGGATTTCTTTGACCCTCCACCTAGACACTCTAGAAATTTTACTCTGGGCAGCTACAATGTCAAGTTGAATCGACCAGTAAGACAGGCGAATTCAAGTCGCGCTAGACGTCAGGCACCAGGAACAGAGGATGGATTCACCGATGAAATAGATTCAGATATAGTGTTTGATAATAAAGCTTTAGTTCTTGGACAGGAGTACAAAGTAAGTATGAATAACTTTCAAGTCCCATCCTTAAAAAATAAAAAATTTTATTTGACTTGTATTGTATTTGTCAATCATATAGAAGGGATAATTCAATATCCTTCTGGTTTTTCTCAGGTAGTAAGTAAGAAGAAGCCCTTCAGTCGTTATAATAATAATAATAACGTCATTACCATGCTTGCATAACTGCACGGGTTATAGATATGACATTTAGATTATAACTTTTGTAGGCAAACAGATGACTCTCGATCAATTTAGATATCATCATGAACCAAAATTATTTAGAGAATCACTGGAATCCATAAAGCATTTGAATCTTCTGCAATGCACACTTACAACTTTACCAGACATCCCAGTGGCCCTCATCATTTCATAGTGAAGTATAATATATTCTCATCGATGGCATTGACGACTTGCAATAGATCCGTATCACAAACTGACAGAAGTTAGAATGCACACACATCATTGTATTCACAATGACGCCTACAGTGCTAAATAATGAGGAACGGAAGTTCTGTCCTCCTGGTTGGTGAAGTAAATCTAATTTTGACTACGAATTGATATCAGTTAGAGAACCAGAGAAAAAAGCGCGCGCGAGAGAGAGAGTGCTGGGCAGCAGTTTCCGTTGTCCTAGTTTGAGATTCATCAGCAGTACTCACTCGCCATGGCCCAAACCAAGCACCTTCAAGTTACAACTTGAGCTCGTATACAACTCAGTCACAGGGAATCGATTCAGCAGCTTATGAATTCTAACTTCTACCAGTTTGTGATTTTGGCGTGACCAACAGACAATTATACTACCATCCGCGAGTATTTGCCCTCACTCCCGACAGGTGTGGACGTCACTCACTGATCAAGCACCTTCCAGGCAACCTAGTTCTGTAGCCAGTCACTCACCAACGAGCATCGCATTGATTTTAATTAGTTACTTCATAGGCATTTGATTCGCCTCAAGATTTTAACCAATGGTCAATGTTTCTCTAACTGATATCAATCCCTGATCAAACCTAGAACGAATCCGACCCCCTACAAACTTACTGGTACAGATTAGTTCACTTGGGGTATGCAAATTATACTTTCAAAATCTACTTCTTTGTGATTCTGAAAAAGAAGACGCTTACAATGAAAATGTTTTGAAAAGCAGTAGACATGATTAGCTCTGTAACAGTAGTATTTTATTTGCACTCGGTATCGGTTTTCAATAGGTGTTATAATGATTAGCAGCTTTCAGAATTTCGCCTTTTGCAACCACCTGGAAGCACTGCCAGACAACTGTCTCTGTGGTTCTAGTTTGGAACTCTGCTTCAGCAGTACGCACACCTACCCCACTAGAGTTCGAACCCAGGACATTCCGGTTACAAGGCTAGCGAGCCAGTAGACGATTATGCCAATCTATGAATTCCAACTTTTGCCAACTGATGTGTATAGATCTATGTGGTGCAACCGCTAGCCAATGTGGCCAGCGAGTAACTGTTTAGTTGCCCAACCTTGTGGACTCCGCTGGTTACGTGAATTCTAAGTAAAACTCCAGGTACTTCCTGTATAGAGTCAGTCGCTAATGAGCATGAAAGCAATTTCTCCAAGTGTTATTATTTCTCTAATAATTTATAACACGAGGTCGTATTGAGCTGTCATCATCATTTTTTTTGAGTAACACGATACCTGCACATGGAACAAATGAAATTCAAATATTGCCTATTATTTCTCTGTGTTAATAATCTAGGCATTTGTCAGAGCATGTGTATTTCAAGAAGATCAGTCAACTTCTGATGGACCAGAAGCGTGTACATCATCTGCTTGGTCACATGGTTTCGGACCTGATCGTCAACTTCCTCCATGGAGTGAAATGATGAGTAAACATCTAATGAATAGTGAATTGGCCGGTAAGAACTCGATGGATACTGATGATGGCAGAAGTAGCACTTCATTTGGATTTAATCTTGCCCGCGGGTTCACAGGATCAGGAAATGATATATTTATTATCACGATAGTGGCTGCAGTGGTTGGCTTAGCATTGATAGCGGTTATTTGTATTGCCTTTGGATGCTTTATGAAGTAAGTGTATGTGTTTTGTGTGTGTGCGTCTGGTGTTTTTCTGACGATATGGTGCGTCGATGGTGCAGAGATAGAATGCTTTCCATCCACGCCGCATGTGGTCCGGGCTTCGATCCCTGGTGGAATCACTCCTAAACCTCGTCGCTTAGCTGGTAATAAGCCTAGAAAAGAGAGAAGGTTGGAGGTGAGACTAGCAACCTCACCCCGTGAGAACAAAACCACCGCTAGTATAACTTTAAAGCTCTCTCTCTCTCTTCCACTGGGAATGGAAAGGATAAAGAAGAAAATATATGTGTCTGGTGGTGTGAAAGGTGTACCACACACCTAACAACCTGTAGGATTTACGTGCTTAGATTAGATGGCTGGGGGCAATCGGTCCCAGGAAGCTTGGCCTAGACCTAGGTTTCGTGCTAATCGGCACTCACCAGTCAGTCAGCAAAGCGTATCTGCACTCTCGTGAAGGAACTCATATCCCTTCTGAGATTCGAACCCATGTCACCCAGTGCTGTAGGCAGAGACGTTACCACTGAAGTATTCGGTCTCGCGATTCACCTCCTATTGTCACTGGTCAGTGACTAGTGTCATAATCAAAATTAGGTGCTTACGCTGAATAAAGATACTTGTGAGTCAGTCAGTCAATAAGTCAGTCGAGATAAAATTCTACACAGCCAGTTGTATTTCTGTTCCCTTCAGTTTTATTGCATACCTAACACCGAAATGGCGAATACTTATGCAGAATTAAGGTAACAGTGTATAGAATTAGACCTACACTGTAAAAGCCCATAACAGGTTGAAAAAGCCTCTGAATTGGGTAATAATTCCAATTTTTAACATTCAACCTCGGAAACCATACGGAGATTTCTTAACAATGCATACAGGAATAAAAGTGGTTGGCAATCAAAGAACCCCACAAACTCATTAAGAAACCAGTTTCGTCGGGTGAAGGATTCTGTCTGTGGAGCCAATTTAACAAAACAATTTAGTTTATCTAAAACTTTGCTGTAATGATTGTGTGTCAGGCGAAATAATTCATGGTGGAAGTAGTAGACGGGGTTGAGTCAGTCATTCAGACTAGTGGAGCAGTACAAGAGCTCAGCATAATTTAGATTAATTGACCCAAAATATATTGCACTGATTAAGGCACTCTACTCGTGCTCATACAGCCAAGTGAGGGCTTACGGCGAGTTATCATCTGAACTGGTGACGACCAGTGGTGTCCGTCAAGGATGCCCATTATCTCCTTTTCTATTCAACTTCATCATAGATGTGCTAATGGACTCAACCCTAAGTGACTTCAGCGACTCAGGGATTGACTTGCTACCAGGGAATAATCTCGTTGACTTAGAATATGCAGACGATATAGTCCTTCTAGGCGAAGACGCTGACAAAATGCAGAGTCTTCTAAACACCTTGAGCCGCAATCTACGAATGTTTGGCATGCGAGCGATTCGCTCCCGCCAAATGCAAGATGATGTTACAGGACTGACTGGACTACATCGACGCCTAGTTTAAAAATAGGAAGTGAAGTGGTAGAGCACGTTGACCACTTCACTTATTTGGGAAGTACCATCAGCCAGTGCCGACGGGTTGATCTCTGACGAAATCTCAGCACGAATACAAGGAGCTCGTTGCGCATTTGTTAACTTACGCCGACTCTGGCGTAGACGAGATGTTCGACTATCGACCAAAGGGCGGGTGTACTGCTCGTCAGTCCGCTCCGTCCTCCTTTATGGTTGTGAGACCTGGCCACTGAGAGTGGAAGACATGAAAAGGCTGGCTAGCTGTCTTTGATCATAGGTGCCTGCGCTCTATTTCCCGTGTAAAGTGGTATAATAAGGTGAGCAATATTGAGGTTAGGCGTCGAGTGCTAGGTAAACAGGGGAAATCAATCGACGAAGTCGTGAATCCACAAAGACTGAGATGGTTAGGACATGTGTTACGTATGCCAAGCCATCGCCTCCCTCGACGAGCAATGTTAGCAGATATAGGGTCAGGCTGGAAAAAAGCTAGCGGCGGTCAAACAAAAACTTGGCCTCACCAGTCAATGAAATCCACAACAGTTGGTCTAAGCTACGTAGGAAGGTGTAGACTTCCAGGCTGGGGTCCTCGGGACGGTAAAAATCTATGGTTGGAAACAATTGGTGGCATGGCTCAAAATCCTTCTCAATGGCTGGTGCAGATGCATCCACTCCTTGTGACTTATGATCTCCAATGAAACTGTTTTGTTCTTCGTTATTACTCTTCCTTTGTCTCACACCTTTGCTCACTGTCTCTATTATGCTTTTCTTGTACTTTCTTCTCTTGCTTCGCGTGCTACACGGAGTGTGGCGACTTGAACTTCCGCACATTTGTGCAAAGTTCTATGTCGAAAACAGACAGACAGACCCAAAGATATAATAAGAAATCTGGAATATGGTTCAGCTACAGCACTCACTATATGCAGTTACACGCAACCATCCAATAGGATGACAGTTTTAAGCTCTTATATAATAGGGTGGGGGGCAGGGATGGATGGAGAGCCTGATAACTGACTGAGGCTTTGTTTATCAAATCAACTGAGAGGAAATATGTGTAACAGGAATGATTGAACATCTTTCCAACCAGACATCTGGAAAATTATATCACCCATTTGATAGATAGAATAGACTGAGGAAAACTATGAAACGAAAGTTTCGAAGCTGTCAGTTATTATTATGATTATGAACAATGAATAAATAAATAGTGTTCGAAACTTCATCATCCAGTAATCAGTAATACTGCTTCACTCTCTGTGTGTGTGTGTGTGTCATATCTCTAATAAACAAATTAATATGGATTTGCATACTACTACCACCACCACAGTGTTTAAGTTTTATTGAGATGTAATAATAGATATAGATTCAAGTGTTGGTTTGTAGGGATTTTGCTGATTGGTTACAGGATTTCATCATGAGCTGACAATAGTTAGAGAACTATTGGAAAACCAGCTGGGAGTACTGGACAGCTGTTTCAGTTGTCCTAGTTTGGGACTCTTCATCAGTACACACCCACACCACTGGGGTTTGAACTCAGGACTTTCTGGTTACAAGGCGAGCTTGTATATCATTAAGTCGTGAATTGGCAGAAGTTATAATTCATGGACTGGCCATTGGATCGGGTCCCAGTGGCTTAATGGTACACGAGCTAGCTCACCTTGTAACCAGAAAGTCCTCGGTTCAAATCCCGGTGGTGGCGTACTGCTGAATAGTCCAAAACTAGGACAACTGAAACAGCTGTCCAGTACTCCCAGGCTTTCCAATGGTTCTCTAACCAATGTCAGCTCATGTTGAAATCTTGTAACCAATCAACAAAATCCCTACAAACCAATACTTGAATATCAATGAGATGCTCACTGGCAACTTGCCCTATTCAGGTAGATAGTTACCTGGGGTTCTAGTGAGAAGTCGTGACCAGTAGGGTGCAGCAGATATAGATTCGTTTGTTTTTTATTAAGAAAAGGGACATTAGAATTTTATAATGTTAACTGCACGATACATTTTGGCTTTCATTCACTTTCTAGGCGTAAACGTCGTCCTAAACTTATGAATCATTTAACTCCAAATGATTCAACAATGAAACAACCATTAATGCGAATGAATGATTGTGGTCCTACAGCCAACGGGAATAGTTTCCCCTTGATATCAAGTGGCATAGAAGCAGCAATGAATAGTAATCTAGTCTCATCGATTGATAAACGTGGCAGTTCACTGACAGGGAATGATAGTCTACAGAGTGCAACACTGTTAGCTGCTTCATCACCAGGTCCCCCTCACTCTTCGCTAATCTCATCGATATCGGCTACAACAGGTCGACCAAATCTAATCACATCAGCTACATCAAGTCCACTTACAGGTATTACAGGCCAACTGGATCCAAGACATCCTCACCATCATCATCAAATGTCATTAGTCTCACCACCATTGATTGATATGTCTGTACATCATGGCCAGCCTCTTGGACTAACTAATGTCTCGACCCCACCGACTATTCAACAGCCTATAAATCCGTTTTTATCTCATCGAGGAACATCCAGTAGTCATACTGGTAGTCATCCAAGTTCACTGACTGGGAGTGGTACAGGAGCTGTACACAATGTGTTAGGTATAAGCAACAATTATATGAATGAAAATAATAATAGTAGCAATAATAATACAATGTGTGATGGTTTAGTCATTTCAAGAAATGGACTTCCAGGATCTGAAAGTGGACCAGAATCAGCGTTCGACATTCAACAATTGCCGTTTGAAATGAAAGGTGAGTGTGGAAGATTTGTTGCTATTATTTATTACTATTCCTTTAATTCCTAGAGGAACATAGGGCTTCAGCCAAACGTTTCCATTGCGTTCACTTCTCTGCTAACGTTTTCACCTAGCTCCTCCTCACATGACCTCATCCAAGTCACCCTGAGACTTGGATGACCAACTCGCCGCTTCCCTTCCGGGTTCCACTCGAGCAATGGCTTGTCTAGTGATGTCACTCACCTGATGGTTTCCTCAGAGTATGGCCAATCCACCTCCGTTTCTTCCTGCTTATTTGTTTCACAATCAGTTCCTTCTGGGTTGGTTCGCTCATTGACAGAGATCCCTGTTGCTGATCTTTTCTGGCCAGCCATCTGATCTTGAGCATTGAGTGAAGACAGCAAGCCAGTGATGAAGGTCTGTAGTTTGTTTGAGGTGCTCTTTATGATGCGTTGGCCAAGTCTCTGATCCGTATGGTGAGTAGCACTGACTGACTTCACACTGGAGTTGAAAATCCGGATCTTATTTTCATTTTCATGATGAGTGCTGTTGACCTCCACACAGACTTGAGAGTAATGAAAGCTTGCCTTGCTTTCCCGATCCTCGCTGCTTTGATATCCTCTCCAGTTCCGTCCGCCAGTAGTTGAAATGATGCTTCCCAGATAAGTGGGAAAGTAGGTGAAGGAGGTTGTTTATTTCAGGTCCCGCCCCCGTTTATGTTGAATGCTCCCTGTTGTTATTGTTGCTATTGGTGTTAGCCAGGAATCTTCATCACTTCTGTTTTCTCTATGTTCACTAAAGGAAGTCCTATCTTCTCTGGATGCTTCTTCTGTCAACTCCTTGCTTTTCACTTGCATATCTTCCAGTTTGTGGAAATCAGACACATATATCATCAGCGAAGACATCATATCATGGCTGTCTGAAATGCCAGAGCCTATAAGACAACAACTGTGTAAGTACTCTCTCCGAGATAATTTTGAATTTACTGAATCCATAGAAGATTTGAATGTAAATGGCAAACGAATGTTATCACTGACGTATAATATCTATTTACCAATCAACGTGCAGCCCACAGAAACAATTTGTTTCCTTTGTAAACATATGGAGGACGAGAATCTGAGCACTGAATAACCAACATTATATCTGAAAGATTTCTTACTGAGGTGCACATTTAATGTACAATTTGCATTCAACGACAGTATCTACAGACAGAAAGACGGGATTGCCATGGGCTCTCCTTTTGACCCTACTTTTGGTAGACTGCTTTATGACCAAAATTAGAAAATGGAATCTTAAAATCAACAATGGACAAATTTCTGCCGTGCAAGAAGTTCATCGATGACACTTTCATAGTTTGTCATCATGATTTTGGTGGTTAAAACCGTATCTTAAAGGAGTTTCACAACTGCCATCCCTTGAATTAAATTCACAATGGAAGTTGAAAATGAATCAAAGATTCCACTATAGGACGTCGAATTGACAAGAAGAGATGATGGGACTCTGAAAAGATCTATCCACAGAAAACCATCATGGAGTTGCCAACTGAAAAATTTCTACAGTTGGATTCCTGTTAATCGAAAAAGAGCTCTCATCATCTCGCTGGTTGGTCTATCATATCAGAAGAATTTGCAGCTCACCTGCTCGTATGGAGCTAGTCACATAGGTCTATTTAAACTTATGTGTTCATAAATGCGATTGTACAGCTTGTGAGAACGAAATCACTGAAAAGATATCTTTTTGGTGAACCTCTTGTTCTTTTTTCTCTAATGTCCTGATGGGTATTTTCCACGATTTTAAAACAATTCAATTTAAATTTTCAAGGGTTGGTTTGTCAGGATCTGATCTGTTTTCAGGTTTGACCACGGATTGTTGCCACTCAAAGAACTACTGAAAAACACTGGAGAGAACAGGGTATTTGTTTTTTTTTTGTTGTCCTGACTTTCAAGACTCATAGGCAGTAGGCACCCACTTGGGTTTCAAAATTAATTTGATGCCTCCCAGTGACTGATTGGCTACAGGACAGTTCCAGTAAGAAGTCGTGACGAATGGGGTTCAGAAGATCGGCCGGGCGGGTGTAAGGACAAATAATCGTTGATGTCATTATTTTCCGGTGGTTGCGCAGCAACCACAAGGTTCTTGATTCGAACCGCGGCATTGGGGGCGTATTGCTGAAGAATCCCAAACTAGGACGCCTGGAACAGTTAGTTGTCCAGTACTCCTTAGTGCCTATCCTATCCACCCGTCTGGCCGACCATCTGATCTCCACTGTTGGGACGGGGAGAATTAGCAGCAGTTCTCTGAAAATGCATTCAACGACTCTTACTGGGCTGTCTGAACTAAGTTTAACCAAGTGATGAGTGTTACTCGAAATCGTTTAAATAGCCGCCAATTGTTTAGACCGCCGTTGATCTTGGTAGTCATAACTACTGTTTGATATGATCAATGTTCAACTGACTATTCGTTCAATAAAACAATTTTAATCTTTAAGAAATATCTCTTTATGTTTTAGCTCATTTTTGAAAAATTAGGCTAATTATTAAATATTTCGATTTTTTGCCTTCTCAAAACATCAACACCACTTCAACTGGAACTGTTACGGCGCTTTATATGCACACAGGTCATTCAATGCACCATCCAATTCCAGTTAATATTCTACCAGATCATGTGGCGCGACTTTCAGCCGCTGACAATCTTTTATTTTCCCAAGAATATGAATCAATTGAAACGGAACAACAATTCACCTGGGAGAATTCCAATCTTGAAGTGAATAAATCGAAAAATCGTTATGCCAATGTGATTGCCTATGATCATTCCAGAGTTGTACTCCAATCGATTGATTGTGTTCCAGGTTCTGACTATATTAATGCTAATTACATTGATGGTTATAGAAGAATGAATGCCTACATCGCTACTCAGGTAAGCATTTCGTGGGTGATAAATAATATATTTCATTATAAAAGACTGGGTTTAGATAAAGTAATAAGAAGACGTAATTTGTCTGCATCGTGTAATGTTACATTTGCGCAACACATTTCGAACAATCTGATCACACACAAACACTTCTCATAGGAATATATATGAAATTAATAAAGAGGCAAAAGGTGAGAAGATAAGCTACTTGGGTCAAGTTAAAAGGACATATTCAAGGTCAAAATTACAATGAAGACCACTAAACCAAACAGCAGAGGTAATGGTACATCCGCTATGGTGTCAAAACAAAATTTACCAAGGAAGGTTTACTGTGATGACGAACTGTTTTTAAACGTATAAAGATGGTTTAAACTTCCTAACCACCAACTAGGGCTTCCACAAACTTTAGGATACACCCTCCTCCAAACACGTTTTACAGATAGGTTTAAAAGATCTGTCAACATCAATTTTATGTCCTGTCTCTATAATATGTTTCGCAATAGAAGAGCTAGGTCTCCTGTTCTCACCGTTAATAGGTTCTGATGATTCCATTTGTTTCTGGAGCCATTTTGGAATATGCTCTGAAGCCCTTACTTGCAGAGATCGATGAGTCCTCCCTATGTATGTATGTGTGTCCACACGTACATTCAAATTGGTAAATACAGTTGAATGTGACGTCATTTTTCTTAAGTTCGAAGGGCTCAGATGGATGGATAAATTGGCTTCACATTCTCTATTATTATGATATTAGCGGCATAAAAAGTCTTTTTAACAGCAGTGTTCATTCTTTGTCTAGTTATCAAGCTGCTTTGATGCCCCATATAGGGTAGCTTGATGTACATGTCTTTCTTAGGGGCGAGTTGGAGAGTGGGTCTTGGTGTTCTGACTACTTTATATCTCCTGATCAACTTGTCTGGATAATTGTTATCAGCCAAAGTTTGTGTCAATATTCTTTCTTCTTCATCAAGCGTGTCTTCAGTGCATATTCGTCGGATTCTACTGAAGAGGCCCCTTACTAAGGCTCTTTTGTACAGAACAGGCGAGAAACTGTGGTAATTAAGATATTGTCCAAAGAACAAAGAATATTCAGTTTCGATAACTTGCTCTTCCTCATCAGGTTCTACAGTTATATGCATCCATCCATATTAGTGATAGAATAAGAGTTGTAAACAACATTAGTGATTTTTAAGAGAAACATCGAATCAATAATATGAACAGATTAGAGTTCAAAACCATCTGTGATTGTCACAATATGCATCAACATGACACCACACACTGAATGTCAGACAAATTCTACGCTGCACAGAAAGCCAGTCAGCTAGTAGTAGTGGCTGGTTGGACCTGTTTCTTTTGCACACATGCATAGAGCATCAGTTGTTTCAGGATGATTGGAGTCTCCGCCGCCTGGACGCTTTTGACAATTTATTTGATACTCAGTAGATGATGGTGGAGAAGGACTCTTCAATGCTAGCTTTGTAGCCTGGCCGGTTTTGGTCAGGTGTTCTAATATAGAGCTATTGATGCTTCTCCCTATACCTGTATTTAACCACACTGGTAGGTGTTCCCGAACGCGCAGAAAAGATCAGGTTACTAGAGCAACGGCGAATATGACTCCCTCCACTACAAGTGCAGTTGAACTGGTAGATACATTTAGAGATCACTAGTCTAGTAACTTCATGTTTCAACTAGGGGATCAATCGGTCGTGTAGGATAAAAGACTTGTAGTTTGTCAGCATTGAAAGTTCTTTGAAGTGAGTTTCTCAACTTGTTAGTAATTATTTCACTCAGAACATCAATCAGTCTTGAACTTCAGTCGTATTTATAAGAGCTTCATATTTGTATTTCAAGGTCACGAAGCTGAGAAAATGAGTATACTGATAGTCAGTTGATGTAGGTTTTCTACATACACTTTCTCTTCTTATTGTGCCATCCTCTATTCTGATCACAAGGACGTCTAAAAATGAAATGCTAGAGTCTTCCTCTTTCTCAATAATAAAATTTATTGCAGGAGGAACCTTATTAAATTTATCCAGGGTGCTCTTTGCTTCCTTCTCGTTTTTCATAGTCAAAAATATATCATCGATGTACCAAATATAGAATTCGAGTTCAATAATAACATCCTTCAGAGGCCCGTTTTCTAGTTTCCCAAGGAAAATGTCAGCTACAATGGGTCCTAGTGGCGACCACATTGTCAAGCCGTTGATTTGTCTCTATAGTTCCTTGTTAAATAAAAAGTGGACATTCATTGTGCATTTAAAGAGAAGCTCACCCTGCGTGGTTAAGCAAAGAACAAACAAAATCCATTCACAGCGCTATTCTATCTCACTCATCTTGTGGATGCACAACACAAGATTGACGTTAACCATGCTTTCACAGGCATTTACTGCATACCAACAAATCTCGATTTCGCATTAAGAATTCGACTACTAAATATTGCTGAGGCTGGCTGGCTGGCTGGCTGTTGGGATCCATATTAACAAGCCTAATTTGTGCATCCAAAAGAAGTTAATTAGTCCGGATATTATGCTTACCAGCTTAGCCATCTAGGTTTTGAATAATCATGAATTTTGTGGAATTTTCCTAATTTTAGTTGATATTCTATTTGCTACTATATCTTTATTATTATTGTTCTTATAATTTAAGCATCTTTAATGAACTGTGGTAATTCCATTGTTATCTTACTTTACAAATCGATATTATTTAAAAAGCACACTAATATTGTTATTGACTACTAATCTAGAATATTCTATGTATATAAACATGTATATATAGATATAATTGTAGAGCGAGAAGAGGAGGAATTTATGGAAAAGGATATTCTTTGCTCGATTATTATTATTATACTTTATATTTCATTATTTTGTAATCAATAGTATCCAATAACCTTCCTTTGTGTGTGTAATATGATACTTTTCAGGTAGAGTGCAGAGTAAAAAATTAGGTGACTAACTGTGTTGACTGAAGAAGAATTAAGGCTACTTAATTTCAGAGTCAAGTTTGCAATATGACCACCCATACCACTAGGTGGCTAGCCATTACAGTGCACTCTGATGTGTTATTATTAGATTGTTGGAGGTAGTCGACACAGGAAGACTTCAACGCTTATATTACTGTGATTGCATGACGGATTTCTTCATCAGCTGACATCATTTATAGAGCCATTGGAGAACCTGTAAGTATTGGACAGCTGTTTCGTCAGTCTTGTTTGGGACTATTCAGCAGTACACACCCACTGGGGCTCGAACCCAGGACCTTCTGTTTACAAGGCCAGCGACCTCGTAGACCATTGAGCCACTGGGACCCAATCCACTGGCCTATCGATTCTAACTTCTGCCGATTCACGACATAGCGCGACCATATAGCAATGTTTTCTTCGATGAGCTACTGTTTCATCTTCAACCTGCTGTCCCCCACAAATCAATATTTGGATATTAATTAGATGCTCACTGGCGATTGGCCCTATTCAGGTAGGCAGTTAAATGGGGTGATTCTAGTGAGAAGTTGTAACCAGTAGGGTGAAGCAGGTCGGATATGAGGACAAATACTTGCCAAATCAATACTTGAATATCAATATTTTATTGTTGACAATGACCTGTAGTGTGAAACAACTAGCCACCGAACCCCCGCCCCGCCCATTCTTTGATACATGCTCGTCAGAACACCGTTATAGTTACAGACAGAAGTGTAGCCGTAGTTGAAGCCACTCATCACCGTAAGTCATTACAGATGATAGTCTCCTATCCAACTCACCCTTTTTCCCCAACTTACTACTAGCTGGTTGGGCAGTGGGTTTCTAGGAGTTCCTCGGTGCGGAATCCAGACCACATAATTGAATCAATGACGATTTGTCACCTTTATATACTAACTAAACATTAGAATACTTTTCCAGTTAATACATCTGGTTGTTATGTTTGATTTATCTTCAATGGAAGAATCAAAGATAAAGCTACGCACACGAACACACACACAAATAAACAAATTAGTCATTTCAGCGATAACTGTTGTTTGAAAATACCAATCTGTGTTCCCCTCTTAAAATGTACAGTTCTCTTTCCAGTATCAAATATCTACCAATGATTGACAGTGTGCAGGTCTCAGCTTGATTGTATAAACGCTGCGATAAACGATTTGTCTAAGGTGAATACCACATCCTCTAACCTATTCACTGTTTATTTGTGTATATTATAATAGTTGAATACCAATAACACTAAGATAAACCGATTGTTCATCATATTTAAACGAAAAAGCACTGCTTTCACTGGTAATATGAATTGCCTCCAGATATATAGATAGATACACGGATGGTATTAGTACGGTGAAAATGCACCACCACCACCACCACACCTACAAACACCATCAGAGACATGTAGGTAATGATGACCACATTGCCAAAAAAATGTGACTAATTTAGGCCGATCATCACTGAGAGATATTCAACCACACAAGAAGTAAATTCTGCGTCATTCAAAATTGACGTGATCAGTCTAAAATGGCTTTATCATCTCACAATAATTTTGTAATTATTATTATTATTCCCCAGGGGTTCCGGGTGGAACATACGCCTTCAGCACCATATCTACACTTCCTTCTGTTTTCCGATGTATTCTTTACCTGGCTAGCCTCTTCCTCCACCCCCCCCCATTTAACTCACAAAATCTCCTTACTGGGACAATAGCACTAACCAAACACTCGTCACTTTCCATTTACCTCCCACTCAAACGATGGATGGTCTGGATTGCACGCGATGTAATTCAATGGCCCCAGCGTATGTCCCATCAATCCATCTGCATTTCATCGGAAATATTTGTTGAACAGTAGGTTCATGGTTGGTTCGTTCATTGCCAGCCAGAGATTCCTGGTCCCCATTCTTTCTGAACAGCCCGCCACCCGTCCATTTCATTTTCAGCATCGACCCAGCCAGGATGTACTGGATACAGAATTCTGACGAGAACAACATGCATTCAGTAAAGACAAGTAATCTTCTGAACAAACTGCAACTCTACGTA